ATTTCTGTTTTTTTTTTTTTTTCGACTTTACTTTTCGACGTCGTAGTAGAGCAACGGATTCGATGCCATCAGCTCGGCGAAATAATTACGTTTCCGTAATGGCCACGTGTGCGCATCCGAGACGATCGTGTGCGGACCACCACGGCGACGGTGTCGTGCGCACGTTTCCGGCGAGCTGCTACCAGCGGTGGGTTTTACGTGTGCGCGATTTATAAAACTGGTACAGTTAGTCGAGAAACCGTAAACCGCAATGTTGCATTCGATTTTCGAACGGTGCTAACGAGGGGCGAAACGTGCAAATCGAAAACCCGGCACCGGAGCCCATACGTACGATCGAATATGATAAGCGATACGAGTATACAACTCAAAACCGTTAAAACCGTTCGAGAGGTTAGGCGTACAGGCGCGCAACGTATTGTGTCGCGGACGAGACGATTCGTATCGCGTGTGGTTTCAATCTACATTGCGCGCAGCTACGTTGTCAAACGCGTACGATCGAATCGTAAGGATCGTTGTTTGTTTTTTAGACGCTTTCCAGTTTGTTAGCGGTGGAAACAAAAAACAAAAACCTCGTCGCTTCCGCCGCCCGATACTGTTGAATCGATTCCGACGGTCACCGGTTAGACGGACACTGTTTTAGCGTAGTCGTCGCCGCGTGCGCGCATTATCATCGTTGACGCAAGTGTGCATTTGGTTCAGGATCGCGATACCGCGTGCCCGGCGAAATCGAAACACGTCGTATCGCGTTCTAAGGACCTAGGACAACAGCGAACGGTGCACGGAAATCCGAACCCCGGCGTTAATGATATGCACGCCGGATAATGCGTACTGCGCAATGTTCATACGTGAAACCCGGTCTCGCGCTGATCGAATCTTTTGATCCCTCGAGTTCCGTGCAACAATTTTGCATCCGATTTTTAACCACGCAAACAATAGATTTGTTCGTACGGCGGTATCTGAAATCAGTAGTTTGAGGTTAATAGTTTTTAAAATGCTAACGCTGTGTCCGTCGTTTTAACTACACGTATACGTATGAAGAAAAACCGTGATGAACGTTTCGTAAACCGTGTGATTTAGATTTCGAAGCCGCCTTCAAACCACGATGCGTATTTAATCGGCGCGTTACAGCTTCTCGATGGACGAAAGCAAGGTCTCAACTGTTAACGCGTAAACCATTGTCCCAAAACAAATGGAATTTCGAACGAACAAACCAATAATTGTCGAAAAAAACAAATATTAGTAAACGGTTATAGCTGGTCACAATTGATGCAAAATAAATAGCTTATACACAGAAATCAATATAATTAAAAGCCAAGTCCGGAGTATTATTACGTTTGCAACGTACGACCGGTTTCGTACTGAAAATAATAATAACAATCCGGGCTGAGCATTTATTTATTTCTATTCATAAACTACTGTTTATCCACGTTTTAGACAAAAAAAAAAAAAAAAAACGAATGAAAAAAATGTCGAGTGAAACGTGTCGCGAATTCGCGATACCCGTACGCGTAAAATATCGAACAAAGGCAGTTCAAAAAATGAATGCACTCTATTCTTACCGTTGTTACATTTTTTTTTTTTACGCGCGTTGTGTACAAAATAAATAAAAAGAGGATATTTTTAAACGCACGGAGAAATGCTATTTAGTCCAAGAGTCGCGAATTTTTCGATCGCGGTTTTCCATCGTCTTCGTCACGAATCCGAAACGGCCATTGTATTCGTGTTCGCTTTTCGTCCGCAACCACGGACGGCCTTGGTGCAAAATCGCAACGCGCTACGAGGCGCAATATAATTTAATGTCTTCTGTCACTCTAAATGGTTATAAAAAATATAAAAAAACCAACGAACAGCTTTACCCTTGTCGCGCACGCATACATCGGATTTAATTTACGTACACATGCTGTACGAACAAAACTCTAATAGGAAAAAGTAATCGTCGGAGCTCAGATATTTTACACGCCGCGATATTATCCGTCTACGTTATACAAAAAACTTGCCTCCACCAACTAACAATTTTATACATCAGAACACTGTCTAGAGTTTTGTTAAACGTCGAAAATGCTATTAAAATTATTTTCAGTTATTTTTTGAAACGTTTTTTACGTCCCGTTTACAATAATGTATTATTATTAGACGAGTAATTACTATGATCATTTCTTCCAAGCTTACACAATCGTCTTAAATTTTCGGCTGCCCTTGTTTTTATAACGCTTCACATAAATGAATAGAGCGGCCCTGTCCGTCGTACCTGGTACAATACTAAAGATTCCTTATTGATATAATTGCATCAAATATAATGCACTACAGTGAACAGTCTTCATAACCTTTACGTAATTGAATATTATGTTTAAAAGTATACATGTACATCAATTATATAGTTATTCTACGACGAGTGATTTTGTGTTAGACGAAAAGAAAACTTATCAATTAATAGAAGTGATTGAATTGTTTCTTACACTTACGAATAAAGGCAAAACTTACGGAGATAATTATTGGAGTGATATTTTCTAAAAGATCCTTCAAACCGGTCTTGGACATTCGCATGAAATCATCTTTTACGCTAATTATTTTCAGCAAGTTTGCGTTCGTACCTTCGCCATCTCTCTGCAAAGACGTATTTCTCACTAACAACCTCTTCGTTCTTTTTTCCTCTAAAATTTTCCAGTTTTTTTTTTTTTTCGTAATTTTTCGAAACCGCATTCGTGCTGGATTGGAAAATAGAAAGTCTAGTTGACGAGCGCCAAGCGCCGTGCGTGCCATAAAATACGTGTACACACGTAAAAAAAAAAGTAAAAAAAATGGAGTTGAACACCATTTACGGGCATCAGAAGGACGCCGTCACCGTCGACGTCGATTACCGCGTAAACGGTGATAATAGGTGAACAGAAGCAGCTGGACATTTCGCTGTCATCGCGCGGACTCGGACAAAAGAAAAACTATAAGATCATTCCAGAAGGCATAAGTCGCGGTTGATTTAGGTCAAGACCGTTCGCGTTCGGCCGAGTACTTGACCGTCGTCGTCGTCGTCGTCGGCTCGGATTCGTTTTACAATATCGGAATCGCGATCGCATAAATAACGTAAAATAAAATACATACGTGTGCACGCGCGAACCATTTGAATATATTTATTATTTACATATAATTATAATAACGCATGCGGTTAGATTATGGATCACGATCGGAAAATAAAAACAATAATGGCGTGCTGCACTATAATCGTAGTCATACCGCAGTGTTTACGTTCTCCCGGCGTCGGCTCGCCGTAATAATAACAAGTAAAACGTATAAAACACGTATACAATACAATGAGCATCACAAAAGACTTTCGATCTCGTTGTTCTGCCGCCTCCGCTTTTTTTTTTTTTTTTTTTGCACAACTTATTTTCTTTTTTTGCGATAAACCATACTCTTTCGGTGTTATCGTCCCTCCCCGTGCACCCGATGGTGCATAATGTTGTATTAAAACATTTTATTCAAATCAAAGTAAGCGTAACGGGGGAACGTGAAATAACGTATAGATCCATCGGCGTCGAGTATGATGATAATATGAAGGAATATTGATGTCGTACGTACTATATACACAGTTGTGGAATCTCGATTGGGGCAAAAAAGAAAAATTCGAGTTATCCAAAATTAGACTTGTGCAAATTCGAATCGACAAATAAACGGTGGACATGGTAGAAAAAATCTACGCGGTCCGTCACGTGAACTCCAAACATGTTTATGTTTCCGTGGAATTCGTAAAAAACACGGTTTGCACAGGCGTTCGTGTATAAATCGTGTACGTTTTCGCGTGCGCACGAATCGAGTCGTACTCGGGTAGACGCGTAAAACATTACCTGTGATATTTGGAGGTCTTCCAACTATGGTAACGTTTTTACGTCCATAGCCATATACAACCGCTGGCGCAGAAGGTCACGTTTCCGGTGCATTCGAAAAACAAGTGAAAACATGATTATCGCGCGGTTGGCAAAAAATATAAAAATAAAAAAAAATAGGGTTTATCGCGAACACGGTTCGGGTCGTTTTATTGCGTTTCGTACGGTCAGTGGGTATATTATACTTCATAAACGGGGCTTGTGACCGCAAAAACTTTTAAGGGTTACAGTAATGGAAGACAAGGGTTTTTAATTAAATTCCTTTCGTTCCGGTCCCGTGATAATCAGAAAATATTTTTAGGATCACGATTTTCGAGAACGGAGCGGTGACAATATTGCGGCGCGACGAGTTTTTTCGCAACGGACAAATGGACTAATGCGGCAGCACACGCAGTATTCAGTTAGTGATGGTTGGTGGGGGGGGGACACGTAAAGGATTGAATAAGTCGACTATTTTTTTTAGAGGGTCTCGAGAAAAGTCCCTGAATACACCATTTTAGTAACGTTTATAAATTTTCCAATTCGAACACTGACCGCATGCAAGTCGATTTCGGAGATCACTGAGTGCTTTGTGATTCGTATCTGAATGTCAATTCTTAACATAAGTTGCGGTGTTATATGTGAGATGTTTTTTTTTTTTTTTTTTGCGATTTTCTCGCGGTATCGACAAAAGACCAACTCGGTCGGCCATTTATAGAACGTTCTCGCGAACCGGTCGACCGTGGGATCGCGATGGTTTTACCTCGGTGGTCGTGTGCAACAATCGGCTGGGAAAACACGAGAGGGGTAAACGTTTTCTTTTTTTCGCAGCAATCAGCCAATTGATTGCCGGCAAGCCTGGTACTATCCTCTCGGCCGATCGTCCTTTCCCCGCCGAACCGACGATAAGTTTACAATAACCGTTCGACGGCGCCGCTGCGTTGCTCACGATCGACTTCGTCGCAGAGCGTTTTGGCACGCTCGTTGTCGCGTACGACACATCTCAGCCGTTCGCGACAAGCAAACCGAAACGTAGCGCCTACACGGCAACGACCGTCGATCGTCACTCGGCACGGACGTCAAACGTAAAAATATTAAAAAAAAAAAAAATACAAAAAAGAATGCCGTAATCTTTCCACGAACCTTAGTGACGTGTTTTTCGTTGTCGGCATGAGGCGCGGACTCGGTAAACTCGTGCCGCCGGTCTTGCGCTCCGATCGGACGTCACGGAACACTGAACGGTACGACGAACGGTGTGGCATTATGAACGCGACCGTCACAACATCGTTTTTCAGGAGCACTTTCGATGCGATTGAGTGCACGTGCGTTCGTCTCGGACCGGACCGCGCGAAACACGTTTTACGTCGCCGTCCACGAGAAACGCGCGCGCTGGTTTTTTTATTTTTATTTTCCGTCCGTCGGTGGCGGAATGTCGAACAAGAACGCGTTCGAGACGCGTAGACAAACAAACGCACGTTATTAAACTCTGAACTGAAAACACAACAGCGTTAACGCGCGGTCGGACGGAGAAACGGAAATCGAAACGCGCACCTCACACGATCGGTACGAATCGTCGAACTGCGGAAACGCAGTGGAATGGGGTCCTTCACGAGAGCGGTTTCGTTTGACGCGCGAAGGGTGTGCCGCCTCCGCCGACGATCTATTTCGAGATCAAGGATCCCGCACGCACGCGGTTTCCGTCACACGGCTGGGGGGCGCACCGCTTCCGCTTCGGACGCGTTTCTTTCCCGCTCGCCGCAGCCAACTCCTCGCGCGCAAGCCCAACGCCGTGTTTCGACGTGTTTTCCTCGCACTCGGGATTCCCCGGGACCAAACGGTAACCGGCGTATTTGCGGGACAAAGCGTCCGTTCGATATACGTGGGCATACACCGTAAAAAGTGATTCCGGCGTCGGGGTCCAAGGTTGGTCTTCGACAGAGGAAAAATACATCTGCCCGTTCTGACGCGAACGCGACTATTTTTTTTTCTTTCTATTCGATTTATTCCGTCGGACGCGTTCGTTCGAAACGTGTGCGCGCACGAAATATTACCATTTCAAAGGATTTCGGTCCGACGAAGGCGGTCCCTGCGACGCTAAGCAGTGCTACTCGAATCAGAGGGGTAAAGATTAAGATGCACGACGGCACGCGCTGCAGTAAATGAGTCCCGCGCGTGCCGTTTCGCCGACTCGGAGAATGCAACCGCACGTAATTGAAAACCGTAATCAGGATCGTATTCAGTGCAGAGCATGGTTCAGGAGCGCAATTCTAAGAGGGACGCGAATTTCAACGTTAGGGGAAAGGTGTACAAAGTGACCATAGCGGGTAAAGTGGTCATGTCTTATTATTCGGTCATTAATAAATAAACAGCTGATTATAACATGTAGATTGATTCATTGTTATCATATTTATAAACTGATAAACTACTAATGATAATAACATTTGCCGTTATCGTTTAAAACAAAAATTAAATTTTTTTATGCGGGTGATATAAGGTAAGTGTTCCGAATAAATAATTATATTTATAAACATAGTAATAAATATACCAAAACTATTTTTTTTCCGAAATCTACATAAGTACCTATTTATATATTATAGAATTAATTTAAGTTAAATAAGTTAATAGGATTAATATTTTTTTTAAATAGTAAATTTAACATTATTTAAAGGGCAAAGTGGTCACTATGGTGACCAGTTTACCTGCATGTCGAATATTTTTCACTTTTATCATGTCTACTTAATAATTAATATTGTTATTAGTTAAGTTATTAGTACAAAGTCCGATTAATTTTAGAAATATTAATAAGAAACTCGAAGATTGAAATTAAATTACTTATTTATCTCAGAAACGTTGTTGTTAATAAAATATATTTCGTTAATAATAAAGTACCAATTAAGTCTGATTAGTTTGTTAATTAATTTAAAAAATATAAATATGAAACTTACAAGATTGAAATTAAAAGACTTATTTATCTAAGAAAAATTTTTTTAAGAATATATAAGTTATATATAATCATATTATTAAATAATGAATAATAATAATAGACATTTTAAGCAGCTAGTCAAAGTGGACATTGACTAACCACTTTGCCGACCTAGGTGGTCAAAGTGGTCAATTTTGTAAATTTTTAAAAAATATTTTTTATTTATTTTCCTAAAGTTTTTTCTGATTACATATTATGATCCCTGACATATTCTTGTACACAACCTTGAAGTTTTCATAAAAGAAAAAATAAAATCCTAGTGTGTGACACTATTTTGAACCTTATGACACTTTGGACACCTTTCCCCAACTTATGTAGTATTTTTCACGAAATATGAAAAAAATGTAGTTAGAACAATTTAATTTGATAATGTCATTGATAAATTATCCTCAAAAAAGCAAGAAAAGTACCATAGTAATATTGTATTAAAATTAATTTAAAATCATCTAACACAATTGTAAAAAAAAAAAAACTTTTGAAGAAAATTACATTTTTTCATAATGTATTGATTGTTAATATATTTTAAAGTAATACAAATAGTTATTAAAGCTTATTAGTAATTATTACCTTGTATACTACGTTTTTATACATGTTGTATGTATCTTAAATGATTTTTTGTAAAAAAATGCAAATCTCCCGTTGAGGGGGAGGGGGCAAATACAATGATTCACCAAGTGCGCCACCAGACCTCAAATACGGCCCTGACCGTAATAAACATTGTTGTCAAATACGCACGTCCGGCAGGTCGTCGTTAAAACACGATACGCTCTGGCGTTCGTTAGACGTCGTATCCGATAGGCACGCACGCGAACAACGACTAAAATCCGAAAATACGGTTAATACTTGTTAGGGTTGAGTTAATGATGATGATGATGATGATGATGATACAACGGCGGCGTCGTCATTATACGTTTCGTGTGCGCGTTATCAACACGCATAAATCACGCGCTCTTCCCTGTGCTTTTTCGCTCGATAATATTCACAAGTATAAACGTGTACGTACGTTGGATCGCATTTCTATGCAAATCTGGCGTTGGCCGCGAACGGTTGCTATGGTATATACCGAGATAACCGCGTGTAAGAGTAAACAACATTTTATTCGTGCGAGACAAGACGATGTGGCGGGTGGCGAAGCGAATTTTTATTTTCCAAGCACGCGCGTGAAAACGAGTTTTTAATCGCGCGCTTTATTCTATATACGTATTTATGCTAAAAAAAAAAAAAAATTTAAAAAAAAATAAATAAAATACGTACGTGACTTTATCGTTTACGCGTTAAAAGTACCGCGTCAATATGACGAAGGCCTGAAGACGCAATCGCCGTCATTCTAACTGCGCCGTGTCACCAGGTCCGTTAAATGTAAACGTTAAAACTGACAAACATTACAATGTACGATAACTGCAATACTATTTGATACGACTCTTGAAGTAGTTCAAAACCGTCATAATACGTCAAATTTGAAGTTTAACGCGCACGGAATTCGGATCTACCGTCGTATTTCAATTCAGAACCAATAAAAATAGGAATTATTTTCATTGTGTATTCCAAACTAAAGATATTAAATAATTTTAAAATTTTCCCTTAATCTGATTAACACTAAATCCACTTAGAAATAGAGATAGATTTTTGATTAATAATGTTTCTAAGACTTACATGCGCGATCATCACCATTACCTGATATTCTGATGACAATAGAGCAAATGCTATAGAAGTTAATTCTAGTTGATAGTTATATTTAATAGAAATGAACAACATTTGAACTAGCTATAGTTTTCATTGTTTATTTAATGTATCACACATTTTACATTTATACAGAGATGGAGCTGTACTGTTTGACATTTTTAATGTACCTAAGTATTCCGATTAAATTATTCCTCGTTAGAATGAAACACTAACAATGAAGCATACGTATGTACGTTATAACTAAAGAGCGGATTTAATAGATATTGCAATTTTTTATTGATACCCAGTAAATCAAATCTGATCAAATATGTATACGAATCAGATTAATTACAGTCTTCCTATTTAATTTAATAATGCAATTGTTTGCAATTTTCAACGATTTTGCAATTATTGCAATTTCTGTATACTTCACGTGATAAAATATACAAATTATTATTTCCTAAGTGATTTTACATAAAAAATATAACTACGACGTATATTTTTACAAGTAATTAATTGTAGTTAAGGATTTTTAAAATTATATTGATTTGAGTTATCCACAAAACTCACAAATTTAGAAGAATCAAATAATCAATTACTTAATAGTTTAAACATATTTAGTATAAATACTAAATAAATGAATACTAAACAAATACTAACTAAATAAAAATAATTAGTATAAATATTTCTATAAATTTTTCCCGTCCCGATAAAAAAATAGTTAAAGATAAATTTAAATATGTCTTAGAAAAAAATGAAGGGTATAAAACTATTAAAACTTACTCTGAGATTATGACAGGAAATCAATATGTTTATTTAGATACATCACCCAATTGTTTAAACTATTTTAAATATGCATCGATAACAAGTGTCGACGTTAAACGTACTTTTTCATTATATAAACATATTTTAAGTAACAAAACGATACAATTTTCAAGAACACAATTTAGAAATGTATATAATTATAAATTTTAATTTAAAAAAATGATACATTTTGTAAATATTATATTTTGATGTACATAATATTATTTAAGTAAGTAATTAATGATTATATATTTGATATGATTTTACTATAATATGTAATTTTAATGTATTTCATTGCAATTTTTTTAACATATTTATACTGCAGTTTTGATACATTTTCATAGCAATTTTGGCATTTTTTTAGTGCAATTTTAAGATATTTTTAATGCAATTATATCCGGTCTTTAGTTATAAAATATATTGTACAAGGTTATTTTTTTCGGTCATTACCTTAGTTTTTTTTTTTTTTTGGCGAGTCGCTAAGTACAAAATATTGCAGTATAGTGTGCCACAGTCGAAATACAAGGGGAATGTAAAACAATGCCGTAGAAATGGCAGCGCAGTCGTGAACAGGAAATCGCTGCAACTGGTTCGTCAAAGGACTCTTTTCGAACGGTTTCCGCTTTGAACTGCCGCCGCCGAGTTTCGCGTTACGAGTGCACCTACATCGGTTTAATCCACGTGTACACTTGCCGCGCACTTGTAAATTAATATCGGTCGACCGCACATCGAACCGTAAACGAGAACGTTCGAAACGACGACGAATATTCGTTCGCGAACGCTTTCGACGGGGTACACAACGCGTATCGATCTATTATTATTGTTAATATATCCGGTAATCGGCGTTGTCTTCGAAGCACTCGTCCCTCGTCGAAACGGCGGAAAAATTACAAACCGTTTATGAAATATTATCAACAACCGTCAATTATATACTATATCTTTTTTATTATTTTTTTTATTTTTTTCGTGTGTTTTTTTCCACACAAAAATAATTAATGGAGACAATAATACGTAAAAAACCGCAATTTAAATTACCGGTATACAGCGCGTCGACCGAACGCAC